TTTTATTCTGATACCAAAATGAGGCTAGAGAGCATCATTTTATTCTGATACCAGAATGAGGCTAGAGGGCATCATTTTATTCTGATACTAGAATGAGGCTAGAGGGCATCATTTTATTCTCATACTAGAATGAGGCTAGAGAGCATCATTTTATTCTGATACTAGAATAAGGCTAGAGAGCATCATTTTATTCTGATACCAAAATGAGGCTAGAGGGCATCATTTTATTCTGATACTAGAGTAAGGCTAGAGAGCATAATTTTATTCTGATACCAGAATGAGGCTAGAGAGCATCATTTTATTCTGATACTAGAATGAGGCTAGAGAGCAACATTTGAAGCTGATACCAGAATGACGCTCGCTATAATAGAGTTGAAGGGCAACATTTTTGGGGGGACAGTTTGAGCCAGTTGGTTTTGATACCAGAAACTAGAGAAGATACAAAAAAGCCTTACTCTTCTGAGTCAGTCTTCCATTTGTTGAATATTTCCAGACTTTTTTTTGTTGCATCTTCATGACCGTATGAAACACCTAAACTCAACACACTGCTACGCATAAATCTGTGGATAAAAAAAAAAAACATAGTTAAACTACACATGGCTTGCCTGTAAATATTAGAAGAAGGAACTTCTACAGACAGGAATGAAATTTGTATGAAACATTGGACTTACTTTTGTAAATGGTCTCCAACATCTTCCCAACCAACGTTTGATATGAGATGGTCAAATTGTTGTAAAATGTAATCCTAGAAAACAGCAAAGAATGTATGAGCACATTATATATTCCACCAAACAAACATGGGCTAATTATGTATTCCACCAATCAAACATGGGCTCATTATATATTCCACCAATCAAACATGGGCACATTATATATTCCACCAATCAAACATGGGCACATTATATATTCCACCAATCAAACATGGGCACATTATATATTCCACCAATCAAACATGGGCTCATTATATATTCCACCAATCAAACATGGGCACATTATATATTCCACCAATCAAACATGGGCACATTATATATTCTACCAATCAAACATGGACACATTAAATATTCCACCAATCAAACATGGGCACATTATATATTCCACCAACCAAACATGGGCTAATTATATATTCCACCAATCAAACATGGGCTAATTATATATTCCACCAATCAAACATGGGCTAATTATATATTCCACCAACCAATATTAAATGCATTATCTTATCTTATATTGATGGAATGATCCGAGTAACAGAAATATTAATGATCATATCCCAAATAAGACATTACCAGTGACTCATTTGAATATCCCTGCCCATATATGGTATAAGTTATTTCAGCAAATTATTTGAATATCCCAGTCTATATATGGTTAACCTATCCCAAATAAGGCATTACCAGTGACTCATTTGAATATCCCAGTCTATATATGGTATAACCTATCCCAAATAAGGCATTACCAGTACTCATTTGAATATCCCAGTCTATATATGGTTAACCTATCCCAAATAAGGCATTACCAGTGACTCATTTGAATAACCTCACCTTGTATAGTTTATAACCATTTTCATCTCCCAGAAGAACTTTTCCAATATATTTCAAATTAGATATAGCAGTTACCGTGGGAACATAATCTGTCTCATTTTTTAAATAAAGCGACATATCTAGAGCTGTTATCTGTGAAACATGTCCAGACCTGAAAATAAAATCTTATTTTATCAATCTATTTCGAACTTCTTTGAGTGCCATATTCTCTCCTGGTAATATTTTGGTGCAAAATTTTGCCTGTTTTTTATGTATTTGTCTAATTATTTTTTGTTGTTGCTAATTTGGTCCAAATGTACGTATTTTCATTCTTTCTACAAGTCTTGATCAAAGTTTGGAAAAAAATATGAAAAAAAAATATGTGAACTTGGAAGTAAAAAGACAAGCAGCTTATCGGCTGAGATAGCTCCGCTGTTAGCAATGCACATTTCAATTAAAGAACTGAAGACATCATTAGAAAATGAACAATATGTATAGTATCAAAGCAATCAGACTTACAGTTTTTAACAAGAAGTCGAAAATATCACTTTCTACCAAAAATGACAAAAATATTCACCAAAATTAGAGAATTGAAGATATCATCACGAAATGAACAAATCTGAGAAAGGTCTACATGTAGTATCTATATATGTAATATCAAAGCAATTGAACTTTTGGTTTTTAACAAGAAGTTGAAAATATCACTTTTTACCAAAAATTACAAAAATGCTCGACAAAGTCGACAGCGGAGCTAATAATGAAAGTAGACATTCCATCACAAATTCAAAAAATAGTCCCATTTATAGTCTGCACTTTGCCTCAGAAGATTGCGATAAAAATAACAAAATGTTTTGAGTAAACAGACAAAATTTGAGTCAATTTTCTGTTTTTGCTAAAAAAAATCTGGCTATTTTTGTCCCAATCTTATTAAGAAAAGTGCAGACTATAAATGGAACTATTTTGAGAATTTGTGATGAAAAGAGGGAACTGGAAGTGAACAGGTTAGTGGCATAAATAAAAACATAATCTATGTGGAATTTTACAACACAGGAGTGTCAGTGTGTTTTGTAAACTTTCGTTTCACAACGAAATCAGATCAAATCAAATCAAATCAAATCAAATCGAATTACAATAATCTTCTGATCTTATTACGTACCTTCCAAAATGAAAAACGTCATCAATCAGTCCAGTTCGATCAGCTGACGTGAATTCATTATGATTTGTCTTCAATGTATGAATGATGGCATCCCAGCTGTCGTAGTTTACTCGATAAAAACCAGCGACGTCGACGTTGCCTTTGATCCATGTTGGATTTCCCTTCAGGACAGTTTCTAAAAAATAATTGAGAACATTGTTTTTTATTAAATATTGTAAAATCACTAAAGATCACAGAACAGTTTTGTAATTAAAGCGGGGGAGTCGTCACCTGCGCATAGTCATATATATATATAAATGTACGGGTGAAAAGTACTTTTCAGAAAATAGCGAGTACGGATGATATTTGTAGCGAGTACGGATGATATTTGTAGCGAGTACGGGTGATATTTGTAGCAAGTATGGGGGGTAAAATATAGCGAGTACAGGGTGGGGGTATTGCGAGTACAGGGTGGGGGTATTGCGAGTACAGGGTGGGAGTATTGCGAGGTAAAATGTACAGGATTTATACTACAATTATGAGTGCAGCAAAACACTCCATAAATATCAGTGGTATGAACTGAAACTAGTTCAATCTAACAAACCGAAACTAGTTTCATGTTAAAAAAACTAAATGTGGACGTGAAGCAGCCATGTTTAATTAATTATATATTCATGCAGTTTGACTCATATGACGTAGAAAAACGGATGCCTTGTAAACAAAAGTGCCCCGTAACTGACCAGACATATCTAATCATGGAACTACAATAATAAATAAATAGACTCATTCCCCTTGGCCTGATAAGAGTCACGCAACAGTGTTCGTAATATCACCCGTACTAGCTACAAATGTCACCTGTACTCGTTAAAAATATCACCCGTACTCGCTATTTTCTGAAAAGTACGTCCCGTACTTTTCACCTGTACTTGGCTCATTTCGGTATATTTATATACCTCCGTCAGATGGCCACAGCGTGTCACTGTTTACAAACAAGCGTCTACCCATGAGCCTTTGCATTTTTAGCGTGTGTTGTTATCGTCGCTTGGGACTCAATTCTCGTGCTTTAACAGAACAATGTCCAGAATACTTTTGAAAATTTTATGTCAGAATAAAAAACTAATTTAGCACTTTGAGCGTCATTGTCAACTTTTGGCACCATCTATATATTCATTCTGCACAGTCTGTTGCTCAGTCTGAGATGTTGATGAAAAAATAACAAACCTAATGATCGAAAACTAAAAACAATATCTGTGTGGTCTAAAATTTAGTGATAAAATATAGTCACTGTTATATGTCTAAAATATGTGCATATGTTCTCTGAATCACTGCGGAAAACAAACAAAAATGATCACCTTTTTGCTGACAATCTTTTTCGTAACAAAATAAATACCTTGAATTTTTCACATTTTATCATAAAAATAAACATTTTTTAGAGAAACAATATGTAAATACTTATAAGAACAAATGAGAATGCAATGGTGGAAAGAGGAAATAACTGGTCAATAAAATATATACTATATTAACCAACAAGTTCCTGTTTGACCTCAGTCCTACCTGTGTCTTCTTTCATCAACTTTGTTTCTTGTTTACTGTTGTCTGAGGTTATAAAGGTCAATGGAATTTGCCATTTATAGCTGAAAACATAATAAATAATTATAGAAAAAAACTTGCAAATTGTGACAGCAAACCATTGGCTGAATAAACAATGACACCAAAAGGTCAAGGTTACATCATAAATTTGTGATAGGCGCCACTGGTCGCACAAATCGGGCACCACCGACTTAGTTTGTTAAAGTGCCTGTGCAATGCCCACCCTCACGTTTCCCATTTTAGATCTGTGTCCCACTGAAAAGGGCAGTTATTGATTTTTTTGCTGCAAATGATTACTCGTATCCAAGTAAATTTGGGATATTTCTCGTGTTGTAGCCACGCTCACCCTATCGTGTAACAGTCGACTGTTTCCGGATTTCCGACTCTCGCCGAAAGTGCGCCACCAAATGACAAAATGTGAGAGGAAGTCATACCCCTGAGCCGTAATAACACTGGTTGTTCAGTATACTTTTAAACGATATACATTTTTCGGTCGGCGTTTTTTCTTTTTTTTTGAGAGAGAGAGTTTTTAGATGTTGTGTTGTGGACAGTTGCAGTGAAACGTATAGCCATAGTGTATGTATTCACACGTTTCTAATCGATCCTAAGTGCGACATCACTTAAACCTTAA